GGCGGCAGTGTAATGGGTACCGGTCTTGGAACCAGAGATTGAAGCAGATGACGAATCCTTCGTGTGGGAAGACAAGCAGTCTTCGCGACTCCAGTTCGCCAAGAGATCTTCTCGGACCTTGAACGAAAGTTCAGGCGCGCTCTGCTGGCTCACAGGCTGTGTCGGTTGATGAATGGTAGGAATAGCTGCAGACGCCGTACGGCCAGGTGATCCCGGCGGCGATGAAGGCGGCGAGTATAGGGAAGTCGAATAACCTTCCGATATTTTCTCGACCAATGCCTCGCGGTTGTCAAAAGGCTTGAGCGCTTCGTTCTCGACAATTTCTGACGGGATAGCGACAGGTGTAGGGTGTGGGGTTTCTATCAGCTCAATCGGCATTGGTGGGACGCGTATGCTCTTCATCCAAAGACCCTTGCTGCTTCTGCGCGTGATCTCGTTGTGGAGGGCGCGACCGACAGAAGAAACCTCAAAGTCCAAGGTCATGCTGAGTGCCCAGAGGTATCCGTGTACCAAGCTTCCCAGGCGCAGCTTAGCACCGGGATCTTCGATGGTAACAATGTCCTCTTGCAACCGCATGATCATTGGTAGTCCGCTCCTCGCTGCGTTCACTCCGAGCCTGTTCACCAGAGTGGTGAGCAGTAGATGGAGGAGCAGGTAGTCCGCCTCGGAGTCGACATAGTGAAGCGCATTCTCGTACACCGCCAGATGGAGCAACGGCAAGAACGTGTCCCTACCACGTTTCGACACCCTCTCCCTGTTCGAAGCATTCGAGACCGCACGTCTAGCCAGCGCGTTCTTTTCATTCTCCTTCTCTTTCCGCCTGTAGTTGTCCACGATCTTCAAATCTTCCTTGTCCTTCTCCGTGTTCAGCCAGGTAATCAGCGCATCGACGTATGCTTTCCTGACTTGACCACTCGGATCGCGCAGAAGCCATTGTGTACCTTCCCAAACACTCACGCCGACCTTGCTCCGCGACACAGAAGCCGATGAACCATCTGGTCTTCGGGTGTTCGCCGTCTTGATGATGGCCTTGACAGCATCGAGAGCAGTAATGCGTGCTGTTTCGAAGGAGAAGAACCGATCCACATGCGTCTTCTCCTGCATACTGATGGAATCGGCAACAGCATCTATCGCACCTTCGGGGTTCTGTATCGCTTCAGTGGTGGAGGAAACGCTCGAGAGACGCGATGGCTTGAGTCGGCTTAGTATCGCTTCCACCATATCAGATATCTGATCGGTGTAGTACACATGCGTCGCGAGATCTGCCATGCATCTCTGCACTGTATCCAGAAGCTGCATCCTCGCATCAGAAGGCTTCTTGACGACTTCCATAACGACACTATCCAGATTGGCCGTCGACGATTCATTGCTAGCCTCCTTCTCGGATACGACAGACGTTGTCTGCTGATGATGCGGTACGATGTTTGATCCCGGTCCGCCAAGCTGGAGGAGTAGCAATGAGTGAGAAATGAGCCCAACCAGAACATCCATGACACTGAGTCCGATGAAGTTGATCGTCGAGGCTAAAAGGTAGTCGATGATCGTCGCCAGAGTCAGCTGCCGTTCGAGGTCGTCTTCTACGATCGGACTGCGGACCAGGGCTTCCACTGCGCCTACTAGGATTGTGTATCGGTCTTGTACGGGGACCCATGCGCAGATCATAGCCATGAGTGTGGTTGCCCAATGGCTGCTTTCGTTCGGTGCAGCTTCTTGCAGGCTCTTGACATGTGATCCGATGAACTTGAGCACAGCGGACGTCGCGAGCCGGAGCTGTCCTCTATTCACACCCTGGAATATGCTCCTCAGGGCCTGGAGCGCAAGTACTCCCACCTCTTCTTCCGCAAGCTTATCCGCATCCTCCGTTGTACCAGATGCCGCAATCGGGTCGCCGTCATCGTCGTCGGTCCGCGCGGTAGACACACTCTGCCGCCGTCGCAATGCCAGCTCCTTCTCATGTTCGCCCTTGGTGGCTTCCCGCGTCTCCAACCGCTTGAGATACGCGCCGCTCTCTGAGTGTATGTTGAGGAGGATGACTGGTATGACAGCGCCCAGTTGACGCCCGGTCTCAGACCCCAGTGACTCAGACGAGGCAATGGCCTTCAGCGCCTGCAGCCCAGCCTTCCGGTATCTGATCGCGACCGGCCAGCTGACTGGTGCCTTGCCCGTCTTGACCGTCTCCTTGGACGCGAATTGGGCGTATAGTTGTACAATCTCCTCGTACTTCTTGATGTAGTCCTGGTCGGCTGCGAGGGCGGCGGGGTCCTGATGCGCGCATAAGGCTTCGAATGTGGGCACCGACTCCTCGACCATAGTAACGTCGTTGGAATTGAGGATAGTGCGCAGGATATGCAGGACAGCGGTGGCATAGAGGGGGAGGTCGCGCGGGCACTTCTCAATCAGCGCCTTGATGATCTGCATCGTGACCTGCACATTGCCCGTCCGGACCTTCCACACATCCTTGGTCGCCCTCTTGTCCAGAAAGTCGACGACCTTTTGCAGCTTACTGCGGCGCGTGCTGGCGTAGAAGAGCAGGTAGCTCAGCTCGCTCGAATTGGCCTTGGCCTCGGCATCGCTCTTCTGCACCTTGGGGTAGCATTTTAGGACCAGGACCTGGTGCTTGGGGCGACACGCCTGCCGCGCTGCGTTCATCGAGGCTCAGGGTGGTGACGTTGCGGGTTCGATCGAGGTAAGCGGCAGCGATTGACTGGGATATGGAACGCAGCCTCGGCGTCGGTGGCAGCGGCGGCGATGACGAGCGGCGGGGGAGGACTCAGGATTAGGATAGTTGGGGGATTGATGGAGTGGGCGGGAGAAATCAGGGTCGCGGCATTATTCGCGCGGCAGGTCGTTCACTAGCACGCATGCATGTGCAACGGACGGTCGCGGAATAAGGAGTGGCTTGGGTGGATAAACATGATCGGCCGTATCCATGTCCGCCGTCCGGCCCAGAGATGTGGTCACTGCCCAACGTTGCCTGCCAAGCCGTCACCAACACCAACACTAAACATTGTCGTACACGGGAGGCTAGTGAAACGAACTACTTGTTGGATACTGAGACACGTATATTGTTTCTGTGATATTGTGGGCTCGCGCTCGAACTTGAAGTCTTTTCGCGAGGGACTTTAGGTGTGTACGTTGGTAGGTTGGTAAGTCGATAACGGTGGTTTGCCAGGGTTCGTCGGAATGGTCGTCCCCATACTCAGATATTGTTTTTGTACCACATAGACATTGGTAAATCTTATAGAGTGTTGTCTCCTGTTCAAGACTTTGATTTTTTTTGAGTTTGAGACGGGTACGGTTAATACTAAAATCGTACACCACTAAGACTGCAGCGCGTTCTCTCTCACGGCCAATCCCCAACATACACAACCAGTAACTACTCAGCGAGGTGAACATCAGGCTCTCACGCGAAGTCCAGAAGCCGCTCTCTCTCTCTGCCTCCTCATTACCTTCCCAAACCTCCCACCCCCTAGTACTTAGGACCTTTTATTCCCAATATACCCCCTCTGCTCCCACCTCTGCCCCTCACCCCTCCTATCCCTCCTATCATCCAGCCTCCGAATCGGCAACCCCGCATCCGGATCCGGCACCAAAAACCCATCCGTCTCCTCATCCCTCTTAAGCCACTTCTTCTCCTCGCCACTCAACACCCTCTTCCCGCCCTTCCCATGCTTCGCCCTCGCCTGCTCCCTCGGCAACCCAGTATTAATACTATAATCCTCCAGTCCCTGGTTCCTCAGCTGCTGCCGCATAATCCTAGGTAACATGGCCTGGTTCCCCGATTGAATGGACGAGGTCACAGAGTCCTTGATGCGGAAAAGTCGTTTGTCGAGGTTGATGGCTGGTTCTGCTTTGTGGCCTGCGACGGCGACCCATTGGACGAGGCGGCCGTCGGAGACGGGGTTGATGAGGTAGCGCGTGTCTTCTGGCATGCTCTTCATGATGATTTCGGGGCGGAGGTGCGGGAAGTGCGTGTGCATCCATAGCCAGCGCTCTGGTCCTGCGGGCTTGATGCGCTCTTCTTTTAGGAGCATCTTGCCCTGTAGGCGCAGCCGGAATTCGACGGCGTGCCCGGCTTCGATGAATTGGTAGGCGCGGTCCATGCACATTCTGAAGTATTCGACGGGGCTGGACTCGTTGAGGATGATGTTTTTTAGGCCGCCGATTTGTTTGCCTTTTTGCCCTGCGGTCTTTGGGGCTCGGTATGTGTAGGCGTTGTGGATGGCGAAGTCTTGCAACTCTTCGGGTATTGGCAGCTCTGGGTCGTCGATGTGTGATTTTGCCATTCCTTTCTTGATCTCGCCGAGGCAGTAGAGCATCTTCCCGGGTCCGACATGTTGTGTGAGGAGTTCTTCGAAGGAGGCGCTCTCCGCTATTACGGACAGCTTCTTAGCCTTCTTGTCGGTCTGCCATAGTTTGACTCGGTGCTCTACACTTTGCAGCGGCGCTAGAATTTCAATTTCCCACGAGCTGAAGTTGAGAACTTTGTGCTGTCCGAGGACTGTCTTGGCCTTGGCCGTCTTGTATAGGTTGAGCGCGCGGCGCTGCTCGAGGCGCTGGGTAGGACAGGCGGGGCGCGGTACGTGAGGGGCGCATTGCGGGCGGTACAGTGTATGGAGGGCGCGTATCGGGATTCGTAGGGGCGGTAGCAGGAGCGATTGGAATTCGACAGTGGGTATGCGCATTCTGGGTGCCATGGTGGCGCGATGAGAGTTTGTATAGACCCTGTGCGAGACGAAAGACGCGACACCTGACTCGGGCCGCGCTATGAATTTTTGGCTCATGACGTCGCAACAACAATCACTTGGCATGCCGAAACTAACACGTGCATTTCTAGGTACTAAAGTCCCGTCTGCGTTGTCATGAGCAACATTATTGTGGAGAGCCGATTGTATATTTCGCAACTGTATCTACGGAATCTTTGAATCCACCAAATGTGCCAAAGCATCCATTCTGTTCACTCCATAAACATCGTCTCTACCCCTATGCAATGATACCGCCTACGTCCACATCGGCACCGAAAAATTCGTAGCCCCCTCATCACTCCCAAGATACTGCGTTTCAGGCGCAGGCGGAAAGACAGCCTCCCAATTAATCCCCGTGCCAAAAACATACGGCGGATCATTCCAGACCACATCACCAAATTCCATTGTAGGCTCTGGTATATACGGCGCTGCATCTGCCTCAACAAGAGAATCATATCTGTGTTCGCGCCCAGTCACGTTCGTTGGTACAGCTAGGGATGGCCTCTGGAAGGCCGGAGTGGCTGCGGGTAGGGGCGTGGCTTGGTACGAGCTATTTATAGAGCTGGCACTTGCACGTCGGTCTGGGTTGGAGGGTGGGGAAGATGGCGGCTGCGCTTGATTCAATAGATCGTATTCGCAACGGCGCACTATCTGCGCCACGCGTTGTAGGAGCTGTTGCTCGGCTGGAGTGGGGACTTGTCCGGATTCCATGAGGAGCTCTTCTTGTACGCGGCGCAGAAGGTCTCTGCGGAAGCGTCGCGATGTTTCGCTAGGCGAGTCGCAATCGTAGACTGATAATTGTTAGCAGGCTAAAGATCCAGCGTGGCGCGATGGCTTACAGGGACTGGGTATCTCGGCGGCAGATACATCTGGAAAGAGGACCTGATACACATCCCTCCATTTGTCTTCTTCTAGTCTCAGCGCAGTGGTGCGCTTCCTCAGCGTCCAGACAGTCTCGCGATCGATCCCTTCGATCTGTTGGGGTAATGATCTCTCGCATTGCTGCAGTCGCACATGACTCGACTGCTCCTTGTCTGACTTGAAGGTCGCGTAGCAGATTGGACAAAATATCGGTTGGGAATGTGACCGGTAGAGATGCTCTTTCATTCGATGAACCGTGGGCCAGCCAGGCCCGGGACAGGTTCTCCTGTTGCGATGCCGATCCGGGTCGTGTTTGTAAAAAGGACATGCGAACCTCGCACCGGTCTCGGACTCATCGGTAGTGGTCGTTGATCCACGACGTCGCTTGCTTGAGCCATCTTCGTCATCGTCTTCTGGCGGTGGACTGCCCTCCAGACGGGACTTGCGCTTTGATCCTGAGCTCACAGACGTCTTGCGGCTACTCTGACCCGAAGGCAACGTGGACCTGGCTTGGCTGTGCGCAGCGTTACGTCCGGTACATTGCTTGTAAGCTGCATTGCGGAGGTTGATCTCAACCTTGCGCAGGATGAGCTCGATGATCTTCTGCATGGGTGCTGGAGATGGTTGTGTTGGCCGAACGTCATGCTCCATTTCGTCTTCGCTGACGTCCGTGTTGGTATGCATGTCGCAAGAGCTGGTGGATGAGATGGAGACGATGGATGTTACTCTTTCTCTGGGACGCTTGGCTGATGGAAGATTGTCGTCGATCCACCTCTCTATATCTTCGTCTTCCGATGCTGGCCTGTCTTTAGGGCTGTCCTTACGTGCACAATCAATAAGACTCTTGACAGATCCTATTTTTGGAACTTCTGGAGGCGTGGTGTCGAGGAATGTCTGGTTGGTAACGGCTTCTGCAGGGTTGCTGGTGATGTTGTTCTGTCGAGCCAACCCTGACCTATCGACGTTGCATCTCTTGAGAAAGGTAGCCTTGTCGTTGACAAGAATGCTCGGCACACAGGGAGGAAGTCCAAAAAATATGTCTGCTGCGCCGTTAGCGATCTGAGCTCCCGCTAGAAATTGTAGTAGGCAATACCCTGATCCAACGTTCCCGTATCCAAGGGTGACAGAGAATCAGGATCGCTATTGTAGCCCGAATCACGGGTCCTGGATGAAGACAGCGAATCCCTTCTACATATTCGCTTGGTTGTGCTCAATCTTGGTAGACCGGCTTGCGCATGGCTACATGATGCCGTGGCGAACATTGCGCAAAGTTGTTAGAGGCGTCCGAGGGGAATGCTCGTGTTCGCAGTTGACAGAGTAAGGCAGGGTGTGAGCAGAAGGAGAGGGCAACGTTATTGAAGGCATCGCGGTCTTGAAGGATGCCTGACGGCTGTCACAAGCAGTCAGACCCACTGCGCGAATGCGCAAACGTGGGAGCAGGGTGTAGCTGACGAATTCCGCCCACCGGTCATCATCCGGTCTCCAGGCACGGGAGGCCCGACTGCCAATCGTCGCAGGTCATGATGCGTCGGCACAACGGCGTTGCGGCAGATACGGACTGAACATCAAGGCGTTGTGGCTGAGCAATATTGATGAGTGAGGTGTTCATAGGACGATTCGGTCGAGTCCCGCGGAGAATGACGACGGTAGATGCACCAATGAAGCTTGCGCTAGCCCTGGAGGCAGGCGCTAAGAACGAATCGGAATGTGGGGTTGTTGCGACATTCTCGACTTCAGCTGCACCTTATTCATCTCCTGGAAAATGCCTCTTTTTCAATGTGCGAGCTCAGGAGATCTTTGGAAAGGAGTTGGGGTCTGGGCTGATCGAAGGCCATACGCTGCTTTCAGCTTCACAGTCTAGAGCTTGCTATCTTCGACGTCGCCACCAAGTTATCTCATCGGCCTATCACAGTACTAACGCCACATGTGTATACTGCTGCATCACGTATGTGACGAGGTGCTCATGAACGCTAAACAGGATGTCGCCAACACCATCTATATTCTCCGCCGAAAGCACTCCCACGACTTATTCACGACGAACCTTTGATACTCCACGCATCTCAGCTCATTGAATATCTCCTTCCCCAGTATCGCCTCAACCTTCCCGCTCCAAAACTCACTACCCTCCATATCCTCAACAAAGCTCATAAGGCGTTGTTCCAACCCGCTCTTACGAAACGAGTAGCGCGGCTTGCCCATATGCTTAGCCACGAGATAGAAAATGACAGGCAACATATCCGTCTCCTTGAACTCGCTCAATGCTCTATTGGCACTAGGACCCAGCTGCCTGAGGCACTCGCGGTGTACATGCCGATTGTACTCCGCGCCGTGGTCGAGCATGTACTTGACGATGGAGATGTTTTCGAACTCGATGGCGCGTATGATTGGGGAACCTGCGTTGATGGAAACGCCGTGTTCGAGGAGTACATCGATGATGTGACGTTGGAGGTACTGGGCGGCTGTTTGCATGCAGGATATACCCAAGGTCTGTTCGACTTTAGTCTTGTACCGACGGGCTATGTCAGAACCTGCTACGGGACCCTCCCGCTGGAAGCAGTTGGGGTTATGGGCAATGAGGTGTCGAAGGATATCTACTTGGCCGTACTCGCAGGCGAAGAGCATCGCATATGCCACAAGATTCTTCGCGGACATGGGGGCAGTACTCCCGACTACCGCCATAGCTGTTTGAAAAGTCTCCATACAGCCGGTCTTGACAGCAGTCCCGATCCATACTTCAGCACAGGCTAGATTGACGTGAGTCAAGCTGGAGTCCCAGATTCCATTCTTCCTAGCGACTACTGCCAACGTAAGAATTGTTTGGCGGTGTTTGGATTGAATAGCCGCGTTGAGGATGCACTGGAATCGGTGCTTGAAAGTGTCGGTCCACTTTTCTGCACCTCCGAAGTCTTTAAGCGCTTTGAGTAGATGCTGTACGACTTCGATGTGTCCATTAGACGCTGCTGCTCGAAGAGGATCTGCGTAGACGTTGTCATTGGTTGCATGCTGTCGGAAGTATGGCCACGACGGCCAGTCTGATTCGTTGTCCTTGAGAAGTTGCTTGACTGCACACAAGCTCCCCACAGCGGCAGCGCAAGTTAAGTCGGCACGTTCTGTGGAACTAGAAAGCGGATAGTCGCTGGGCGAGCGAAGTGCCCGATTGATAGCTGCTAGCTTGCCTCCTCGGGTCAGATACTGGAAGATGTACTCGACGTATTGAGTTTTGGTCTTCTCATCGTAGGGATGGCCTTCGATCTTGAGGACCGCTTCAGCGCGTGTCTCAATAGAGGTGACAAGCGGATCGTTAAAAGCTTTTCGAACAGTGCTCTGTAGGATTTCGGGGAGCATGTGATGTAGAACTCTCTTATCAGCTTCGCAATCTCTGGAATCTTCCTGAAAGGAATCGTATTCATAGTCGAAGTAGACAAAACGCAAGTGATTGGCGATTTGGTAGCGGATCTTTTCGTCGAATACCTCTACAAAATGTTAGCGCATACGGATTGATGTCATGATGCCGATGTATATCTTACTACAAACTGCACGAGTAGCTGAAGCTTCACTGACACGAACAGTGTGTACATAATTGACAATTATGTCGTAGAAGATGTCCTCTGGGAGTTGCAGCAGTGGGCTTTCCGATGCCATGATCTTGGATTGGCCAGCCATCGGCAATCGAGTGACTGTGGTGCAATGGTTGAGTGTCGAAGAGTAAGGAACAGTTGAGCGTTAGAGATTTCGCGGTGGTCCGGGTAGGAGCAAGGTGTAAGGAGGAAGGTGCAAGGCGGAAGGAGGCAGGCGATCATTGGCCATACTTTTGCAGGCAGTGAGAACAGCAGTTGAATGCATTGTAGCAGTCCATTGTGAAGGTGAAAACAGTAACTTAGAGTGAATAGGTTAGACTTTTGGAAAGAAGCTTGGTGAACACCAGCGTCTCGCGAAGGATGCCAACCACGGGATTGTCCGCTGAACAGGAAGTCGAAGATGCTGGTCGTGTTGTGTGAGTACTCGAGGAACAGACATCTGGTCGCCGCATGCACTTCTTGCAGTATCACCGAGTGCATCAAAAGCGGGAGGTTATTCGAACCAGGATCAGACCGCATTCTGAGTCAAAGGCGCACTCTGTCCATTCTGGAGGTTGTGCGCAGGTGAAGGTTCGTGATGGTTCGTGATGGTTCGACGGTTCCTTCCCCATCAACACACACGTCATCACCCCTAGCGTGCCATCCGTGCGCAGTACTCTCGCCCAGGCGAAGTCAGTCAATCCCACAGCACCAATCAAGTCAGCAGCAGGATAAACACAGCGCACAACAACTTATCAATCTCCCACTTCCAAACACACTCCCCATCAACAAGAAACAACGGGCACATAGCGCCCTTTCGATTCCAAAGATGCATGGGTGATACGATAAACTAGCTGGGTATATTCATACCCAAGAGACAGCTGTCCGTAGACAAAAATACGCTGTCAACTCCAGACACCATGCCAGTAAAACAAAGAAATACTAGCGAACACCCGTAACCCTATGTTTGATAAACCTTCGCCCTCCCTGGGGTGAAGAATACCATACCAATCCATCCCATACCAATCCATACCAATCCATACCAATCCATACCAATCCATACCAATCCATACTCCATCCATCCCCAACGCCCACCACCCACCAAACCCCAGACCCCAGACCCAAGACCCATCCTCCGGATACCGATATCCTATCCTATCCTATCCTTCCTTTCAAGCCGACGACCTATCAACCATACTAAGTACTCCATCCCCTCAAACAAACATTAACATCTTGCCGTCGGGCCCGTGAAGACGAGAAAAGGGTGAAGAACCTACCGATTACCGCGGCGACCCGGCAGCGGAGGCGGAACCAACGGGTTTCCATAAGCATCTGTGCCCAGTGTAACGCGACAGTCTGGACAGTACCATTTGGCGCGGCGGGAAGGGATGTCGTCTTCGGTCATGTCCATGCAGGGGAGGTGGAACCACTCTTTATCGCACTGTGGGGTGGGGATGTTTGTTAGTTCCGATGATAACAAACAACAAAAGGGGAGGAATTTTGTGGGATAAAGGGGAGGAGTTCTGTTGAATAAAGGGGATGGGGGGAGCTTACGTTATTATCACACGATATCATTTGCCCGTAACTAACGTCGTCGCAGATACAGTATCGGGGCTCATTGGGATCGATGTCGTCGGCCTGCTCCGCCTCTTCTTCTGCCTTTTTCTTCCGCTTGTTCTTGCTGCCTTGCGCGCGTTTGACGTTTGTCACTGTCTTTTGGCCGTCTTCTGCATTCGTGACTTCACCCTTTGGAGGAGGCTTCCGCCGGCTACTAGTGCGGGTAGGTGGGGGTGGGGGTGCAGGTACTGTGAGCGTGGTTGCGGGTTGGCTAAAGACACTATGACGACGGGTTTCTCGAGTTATCCTACCTTCTTCGTTGGGCTTGGGCTCTTCGCTTTGCGCCTTGGGTGTAGGGACGTGGCCGCGTGCGGAGCGAGGGCGTAGGGTCGGCGCTGCAGGTGTCTCTGGGCGGGGCTCAGGCACGGGTGTAGGTGTCTTTGAGGACTTGGTGGGCGGGAGAGTGGTCACGGGCGGAGTGGGAGCTTTCGGAGCAACGGATTCGCGTTTGGGCCTGGTCGAAGCTGCTGTTGGTGCTGAGACTGAGACTGAAGCTGGAGGAGTTGGTGCTTTAACAGGTACTGGTGATTGCGGAGCCTGTGCCACGGCAGGTGACTCCTCTGGCGGTACTGGCGACGTTGTAATGGGTGTGAGCTCAGGACTTGCCTCTTTCGAAACGGCCTTGTTGACTTTCGGTGTGCTTGGACCTGCTGGCGCAAGCGGCACTTGCACGGTATTCCCATTCGTCGATGGCTTTGCAGGCTCTGGGACTGGTACCGGTGTGCTTACTCTTGGAGAGGGCACAACAGAGGCCGTCCGATCGCGAGGGGTGGACACGGTCGAGTTGGGGGTCGGT